AGTTGGTAAGGTAGGATACAGACGGGAATTTAATGTATATCTGTAAGCAACGATAAACCATTGCTTAAGTAAAGTGATTTTTGTGTTATATTATTGCATGGAGCATTATCTGTAAAAGTGTGGTACTTTGAAACATATTAAATTTTAGAACTTTCATTATTTTGTTTTTTTTTCCTTTTTATACTCATCACTTCAAAGTAAGGGGTTTAAAAAAACCGATGAATATTTACTAATTTCCTTCTATAACTTCGTTTTGGTTTTGTTGACTAATAAGGAATTCTGTTGTCTATGGGGATTTCCGTGTAAAACACTTAAATAACTGAAAATTTATTGGATGTCGAAAAACGCGAGCTTTAGATGTCATGTGTACACATAAAGTTGATCCATCTGTATTTGTACGAAATCAAGCCAATCCTCTAATGGAAGAAGGTAAATTTAATGTATATATGTATTTTAATTGAACGAAATATGTTACTTTAATTATTATTAATATAATTATAATTTATTGTTTATTTTACAGTATTCGTACGCCAAGCGGTAATTTATCACAAAAAAGTAGAGGTAGAAAAGAAACTAGATAATAATGCAACAATGGAAAAGAAAAACGATCAATTTTACATAGATAGTTATGAGTATGTATAAAAATATATACAGGGTGATTCACTAAGCGTGCTCATCCCATTTTCTTTTTTATAAGTTTTGCATATATTTAAATACTGATTTTCGGAATTTTTAAATATTTAGATTGTTCACAACATCTAAGGAGTATCCTGTGGTGATACTAACTTCGGTTTTTCAAACGAGATCATATATTAAAAATTCCACAACTAGACGGAGTATTGTTTAAAATAAATGTCGGTATTTAAATGTTTGATTTCCGTCAACCCGTTAACGAGATATTCCACTTTTTAAGTTTGTGTAGGGGGAGAGTAGCGGAGTATCATTTGTGTGGCGGCACTGCGCCCACTGTTTTATTAATGCTTCACCACTCTCCCCCTACCTGATTACCCGTATGGGAAAAACGGGTTTTCCGGTACTCGGTTAGGTTCCGAATTTGCGGTTGTGTACGATTACGAAACAGTTACTAAAGTATAGAACCAATTTAAAAGAAAATAGGCGCCAGTGTAACGTGGCTATTTCTTAGGCGAAAGTTTGACGAACATGAGAATGGACAAATTTCTCGATATAGTTTCATTTGAGTTTATTCTCTGACAATTAATTATTCTATACGCTTGGTTATCATATATTAAATTAGGTATGTTTCAGTATACTATTATTGCGTACATAATATTATATCCATATAACGCATTGAATTCTATTGATTGTTATTATTTGCAAATACTTGTTATAGTATCATTATTAATTGTCACGATAATATGACGTATGAGACCGACGAAATGACCGGACACGACTCGTGTAACCCGCAAAAAACGCACCGGACACGGCACGTGTCCCCCTCTCCCCTAAAAAAAAAAAAAAAACCAAGGGACACAATTTCGTATTTGGTACACGACTCGCAATAGCGGCCCATTATTTTGTCGTCGCGGCGATGACTGACGTGCGTTTTTTGTCACGGCGGTGGCGCATAAATTGAAATAATATTATGCAACAATATATGCAATTGTATGGTCAAATGTGCAATGACCTTGCGAATATGCAAAATAAACCTACGTTTGCGGATCTCTATAGTTAGCATACACGGTTAGTAAACGCAATAACGATTATTAACAAAATATCTAAAAAAAATTCGACAACATAGAAATCTGTAATCTAATTACAGTATGACGTATTGTGCATGGGTGGGTGCCCACGGCGACGGCGGTTTAGCGCGCGGAAATCAATGCAGTTTTTATTTTGCTGGGAAAAATCAACTTCGCTCTAAAGTATGTCTACACAGAACTGCAATGGTTCTTAAACTGTTTGACACTACCACTTGGAGAATTTTCGATACGAATTTTATACCAGAAATTTCGCTGAGAATTTAAAGCGTAGCGTCTTTTTTTAGATTTTCCCTTGGGTTTTCATAATAAACGGGAAAAAACGGGAAAATTTACGAAGCGTATTGTTTTCGTAAATATTACGGTAGGCGTATCCTTGGGGGAGCAATGAGGGCGATTGCATTCCCCCCCCAAGAGAAGTAGACTTGCATTGGCATTTGCTATAGTCATTGGTCCAGAAGTATAGGCATAACAGATATAATCAATATATTATTTGACATAGTTTTTTAGATTCCGAGTGTAGCGAAAAATGTATTGGTTTTATAAAGATGTTTATTTTTTTATTTTCCATACGGCGACAAAAGTTTCTTCCAGAATTCCTGCTCCGATATGTGAGTATGTGTAGCACTCGTTATACCGGAAAGTATATTTTACTTTTTCGTAATCTTTTTTTTTTTTTTCCAGAACAACTTCAATAGAGCCCCTAAACCTAAACCGTTGAGTTACCGTTTGTATTTTGTTATTCTTATTTTCATGGCGGGAAGTCACTGCCCACTGTTGCTTGTCAGATAACGACCTACGCCATGCGATACACAGACGAAGTTTTAGTTTACGACAAATGTCGATGTTACGACGTTTAATATTTGCATCCTGTATTTATTAAACTCGGACACACGGGCGCGCACTGCGGAGAGCGAAACGCCATTGGACATAGTTTAGCGAGTCGTTCAGGTGTACTTACCCGCGAAGAAAATCTTCCCATTCGCCCGTCCGGATGGTCGCGTTCAGTTGTGCGTTTTCTCAACGGTTCTCAAATCGCTTAAAAAATACCTGACTCACGAGTAATATTATTCCCGCGAAAAATCACCCGCGGAAAGCTTCGGTACGTTGAACACATCGTCGTGCGCTATATATAAAATGTTAGAATAATAACGCGTATCGACACGTGTGTGTGTAAAAAACGCTTAATCACACACTTTTCAAAACGGCATTGTTACGCACAAAATAGTGAAACATGCGCCAAAACATCGGGATACGCGACAAAATATCGACTTGTTATAACGTAATATGGTACGAATTATGTGAATAGTTAAACATTCTATATGGATATTGATAGCCGGAAAATGTATTGAACTTTTTTGTTTTTTTTTATATATTGTTGATTGAAGCTGATAAATTTTTACTATACGTAAAACAAGTTACCGTTGTCGTTGTTATCGATTTAGAAATTTTAGAAATGTGTTCTCGAAGTAAAACGGTTCGAACTATGCAAATGTATGCGACGTGACAACTATTTCGCTTGTTGCGTTGTAAAGGTTTGCAAAATTGCAGACTGTTACCCTACTCATCAACAATGTTTACAATTGAATGAAAAATAATCTACACAAATGCGTTAACGTCCGTCCTTTGGCGATTAGGTTCATTGACTAAAAATGTATTTACTTATTTTTTTTAACATCAGATCTTATACGGTCTTAATACGAAAAACCCGCGTTTGTCACACCGCCCCCTCTCCCCTCCTGTAGAGTACGTCCGGCCGTGTTATCGGATTTTCTCACGGGGATCTGTAAAATGCAATAACTTTCGATGTTTTTTTCGCGTAATAATATTACTACCGAAACGTCTGTATTTTCTAGTATTTTTTTTTTTTTTTTTTTTTTACAAAATCCGAAATCCTCGTTTTGCGAATGTATTTCGGGAAAAAAACGTCGGCATAACGAGAATCCGCTGCAACGACGAACCCAGACCAAATGTCCGTACGATTTGACGAAGTTTACAAACAAATTAATTTTTCCGTTGAAAAACCGGCGAACCGATTGCGGATATTTTGTTGTTTAGCAGTGAACACGATTTACGTTGTCGTAAAGTTGAAAGGAAAAAAAAACGTATAAAATACAGAAACCGCAGCGCGAGACTTTGGTATTTATTACAAGGGGGGAAACTGGAAACTTAAAAATATCGCGCGTGACCAAACAGAGTTATCGCGTCCGTCTGCGGATCTTCGCGGGACATCCCGAGACGGCGGTTCTCCGGCTTTTCATATCCGCTCGCCGTTAACGCCTTTCGGCATTTTTCGCGTGCCACTCGGCGCGAACTCCATTTTTTTTCTCCCATATTAAATAATAAAACGCGCACGCGTTATTTTACACGCGCGGAGCTTTCTGTTATTGAATCTGCACGCGATTATAAATCGTTACCGTTTAATGCGCAGAGAGCAAAATTAAACACGTGCGGGTTTTTCAGTGTTTGTCAATGGATTAACGAACCGCATTACGAGTAAAGACCGGATTTCGCGCGAAACGCGTGTCGACAATTTACGCGTCACGTTTTATACGCGCGGTCAGCGAGAGTCCGTTGCTTGATCGATCAAAAATAACGAAATTTCACGTTGCGTATTTTTGCACACCCCCGCGTTGTGGCACATGTTCGGTACGGTTTCGCATATTTCGCACATTTTTTTTTTTTCAAATTTTACATACGCTGTCACTAATGAACAGAGGCGAGTGAAAAACTACGAGAATACTAGCCGAAAAGGCGAACACGGAACACGCGTTGTTAACCTGTTGTTTTTCCCAGTTAACGCGCTACATTCGTCGTATTTTTTCTCATCATCAACGCACCCACGGCAATTACCAAAGTATTACTTAATTGGTTTTCGAATGTGTCGAAAAATAATAATATAAAGCATTCTTAGTTTATCGTACCTTTTGGTTAACAGATTCTAGTCAACTGTGCACAAGTATAATTTAAAACGCTCAGTTTTGTATACTTACAAATCATGATGACGATTAACAATTTACACGTCGAAATTACGAAATATACGCGATAAAAAAAAAAAAAAAAAGTCTTATAAAAATAATTTCTAGTTCAAGTAATTTTAATTTTATCCAGCATATTTCGTATCTTTGTCTGGCACATCTCGACCTTTTTTTCAGCGCTTGTCCGCGCGAATGTTCGCAACAATTATTATAATCTAATAATATTTTAAGTAACAATTTTTTTTTTTTTGTCATCACTCGGCTGTCTGTCCTAAGGTACGCGCTATATCAGGTAAAAAAAAAAAAAAAATAAACAACAAAACTAGTTTCGATTATTTAGTACAACACGTTAAGAAGGGCCCGTACGAATACAACAGTGTATACGCAACGGGCCTTCTTTGTATTTTTATTTGCATATTCATCAGTCTTATACAATATAACATATAATGTAACAATATACAATATAATTATATCGGGCGTCGCGGACGCGAATAAATGTTCTTCGGTCCCCGCGGGTCCGAGTCGATTTTTGTTTTTTTTTTTTCTTCCAATAACCGTGCGAGACGACGGCGCGGGATTTCCTTCGACTCTTTCCTTCCCCACGGGGCACCGAAGAATATTCCGTTCGGTTCGTCCGCGGCGGTTATCATCAATACATAGGTAAAAATCACGCGTAAACACATGACGGACTCGGACGGAAAATGACGGCGAAAACGATTTTAAAAACGCCGGGCCCGCCGGATAGATCGGATCACAGCCAAAACTGCAACTGCGGTGGCAAACGAAGTCTAGAAACCATTGTAAAAATCCACGGTCGGGGGGGAGGGAGAGGCGTATGGTCGTAATCCGTTCCGCTTTCCCGTCGAAAACGGACGAATGCGAACGGAAAAAAACGTAAAAATCCTATCCGTATGATGTTACGACAATAATAAAATATTAAAAATAAATAACACTAAAAATAGGAGTAACGAAAAAAAAAAGAAACATAATGTTTAAAAATTCTATAAAATAAAATAAAAAAAAAAAAAAAAAATCCTATAATAATATGAAACGATACGTTTCGCGCGTTTTGAGTATTGCCCTGCATACGATAATATTAACAACGATAACGTCGGGGTATCAGCCGACGAGCAGCTGGTGGAACAGCCATCTGACGGGCGCGAACAGGAAAGCGAGACCGACGCACAGTCCCAGCACGGTAACGGACACGACGATCAGCACCGGGCCGTCGTGCCGGTCGTCCCGGTAGAACAGCGCCTTGGAGTAGTCGGCGTCTTTGCCGCCGTCGCCGTCGCAGTCGCCGTAGCCGTCGTAGTCGTCGTAGTCGTCGTAGTCGTTGTCGAAACGGCCGCCGCCGCCGCCGCCGCCGTAGTCGTCCCGTTCGAAAACGTGCACCTGGACGGCGTCCAGGAACTCGACGCGTCTCCGGCGGGCCGGCCGCACGTCGCGGTCGTACCGCCGCCAGACGAGCGTACCGCCGTCCCGGTGGTCCAACACCCATTCGGGCTGCGCGGCGTGGTCGTCCGCGGCGCCGTGACTCTCGGAAACGTCGCCCCGGTTGAAAATCACGTCGTACACGAGCCCCATTGCTGCGGGCTGCGTCAACCGGTTGAAACGATCGGGACGAATATCGGGTCGGCGATAATACAAGCGCGCCTATCTATTGTACTGTGCGCACCGGCAAAGTCGGCGTATTGACGATGCGGCGTTTCGAGCGAGAGCGTACGAAATTGTTTAAACTTTTGTCGGCGGTTGAAGCCTACCAGCCGGTTCGCGTGTCGGTCCGTTAATGAACGCTCTCGAGTTTTCGCGGCGCTCGTTGTAGGGGCACCGCCGCCGCCGCCGCCGCCGCAGACGCGCGTTTCCGTCCGTTTGTTCGATGAACTTTGGGTGGCCGAGCGGCGGCGGAGCGGACGAGCGATAACCGGCGCGCCGCCGACCTTGATCGCGGCACAAGCCGATCTCGTCGGCCGCCGACTCCGCGCTTATCTCCCGCGCGTTTTCGTACGGGCGGCGACCGCGCCGATGTTATTGACAATTTCGCCGAACGCGACCGAACGCAACCCGGTCGCTGATGTGTTCACGCGGTCGATTTCGGTTGTTATCGCGGCGGTTACCGAAACGACCGGGCGAAACCGGTTTTTTTTTTACGCCCGTTCTCTCGCTCGTAAAATTCAAGTTTTACGAACGACTCTGCCGTGGCGCCCAAAACTGTAGTTCGAGCGTAGTAGCATCCGTTGTACGCGTCGCGTTTTGGGCGGGTCGCTGGCGTTCCCGGCGGTCGGGATTCGCGATGATCGGGTGCAAACGTTCAAAAATCGTTTAGATTTTAGGTGTATTTAGACGCGTAAGCCTAGGGGGGCGGGCGGTGGTTTAGAATTTCCTGATTCGGCTACACCGCGGAAACGGGGTTTGACGTTAGAAAAAAAAAACGACCAATTACGGTCGATTGAACGCGGGTCGCGTGCCATCCGCAGCGGCGGACCGACAAAGCCGTCGATGTCGTTATAACCGTGCCGGAGCCGACGAAATTCCATAGACGCACCTGCGGGTACTGCGCGAAATGTTTCACGATTTTACGAAAAACGGGCGTTAGTCACAGAAAAATAAAAAAATAAAAAAACCACGAATACCCGCGTACGGCGTGAACGCGAATTCGCGCGATTCGAAAAGAAATCGAAACGAAATTCGTCACCGCGACGAGCTGCGATCGGACACACACACACAAACACAACGGCGGGGCAGCGCAGTTGCGGGTACCGGTGAAATAAACGCGCGATTATCAATTCGACCGGGTTAATCGACGAGTACCCGCAGGCGATCCGTTTTGGCGGGTACGGGCGGATGGACGAAAATCAAAAACGTCAACGCCGACGTACATTTCAACTTGTACTCCGTCCGTAATTACGGGATTTTCAATACGGTTCGCCGTCGATGGAATGCCGAAAAGCGTGGGTAGCGGTTTACCCCCCCCCCCCTTCTCCCCTCTCTTCCTTCTCCCCGAAAACCAGGGCGAGCGACGAAAAATAACACGAATCATGAGATCGTACGGTAGCTCGCTTCTCAGTAATCGTTCCAGAAACGAATTCGGGAAAAAGCCAATGCTCTCCGACGATTGTGCCCCCCGCTCTTAAATATCGATCGCCCGGTGCGCGTCAATACGCGCGACCGACGTTATCGATTGTCGTCGGTTCCGTTTTGATCGTGTCCGCGAACGCGTCCCGTCCCGACGTGAACGCACCAACTTTGCGACCGCCGATTTTCCGCCGATAAACTGCGCTCGTACCGGCGACACGGCGACCCGGCCCGACAATCGCCGCCGTCGTTGCGCGACCGATGAGACGTGGGCAACGAAAGGGGTATTTTTTTTAAAAATTGTTTTTTTTTCCCGAATTTTTTCCACCGCGTTTTTCGTACGCACTCGCGCCGTGTCGGCTCGACCGTTTCGACGGTTTTCACTTCGTCGATTTGCACGTCGACGAACGTCATTGCGACATCTCTTTGACTCGAGACCGTTCTCGCGGAATTCCGTTCGTTTTTTTTGTCTTTTTTTCTAAACGTATTTCATCGGTCCGCATCCGTTTTATACGCGCGCACCGGCGCGCCACGAGGGTCGCTCAACTCGAATGTAAAATTTGAACTCAAGATTATACTACTTCCGTCCCGGATGTTTAAAACGGACACACTAATTCCGTCTCGTGTAATTTATTCTTGGTTATGCGAGTTATCCGTCCCGTGTTGCATTTTTCTTCGCTATATTAACGCAGTGAAGAAATTCACTACGACTACGATAACAATCTTATACAATTTAGAAATGAGGACGATATCGCTTTCGGTTTTTCGCTAATCTAATTTTTAACAACACTATTTGACTTTTAAACTTTCCAGGCGTATTATTTGCGCGCGACTGGATTTATTATTTTTTCATCGTACCTACTACTTGCGTATACGGTTATATTCTGATATTTTTGTTAGGGACGGAATCGGCGTATACCGGTTTTTTTACACGGCACGGGACCGGTATATATATATATATAAAAAAAAAAAGGACATCGGGACGGAACTCGGATGAAACCGAATCTACGGGAGATTTCGAGAGCCGATTCGATTTCGCGTTTAAGCCGGCGGCTTATCGACCGTTTCAAAACTGCAGTGCCCGTGCCGGTGTACGTACAGCGTTAATCCGCGTGCCAAACTGTTAAGCGCAACGCGCGTGAAAAACTTTTGATTTTCAAATAGCGAAAATGTTTTCAACCGCGTCTATTACAGTCTAATGGCCGGGTCGCACCATCGTTCGGTAAACACCTACGGAACCATCAGTAGCACACTTTCGGATCTGTCAACCGGATTGGATGTTGCTCGAACGTTTCGTATTATTTACAGGATAACTGTTTACAGACCCGCGAGTGATTAAAATCTACAGAACCGATTTCGTATCTAGCAGAACGATTTACAGATCGATACTATCATTTTATCAATGTTATCGTTGCCGAAATTTCTGATAGATTTTTGAATTTATGTACCTATTGTCGAATCTCAAATGTAACTCGAGTTAAATTATGAATTTGTTATCCTCGTGAATTTACTATTCAGGTGACGGCCATGTTATTACCGAGGCCAAGACATAATATCGAATCTGCCGATTGAGTTTGATGATGTAGATTTCAAAAAATGGTTCGGGTATTAACGTAATGGCCATAATAACAACATAATAAAATGCGTTTTTTTTCGGCGCAAAGATGACACAGTTTTATCGTTAATCATTATTCGGGGCTCGGTTATCTACTCGAGTAAGATAACCGTGGTTCAGGGTTATCAAAATGTAAACAGTTTAGTTTGTCCGGTAACCGTTGTAATTGTTGTGTATTAATGTACAGATTCATTAAAAATTCTTTTGTGCAACACTATTACCTGCAGTTACGGAGCCATTAAAATGTACAGACGTTTATAAACTATTTTTACAGAACGTTTGTGTAACCCGGCCTCATATCTCTATGTACAGTTCACGAGTTACTTAACACTTTACTATTCAGGCCTCGGATATGAAACGTTCCGGCCACTACTCGTCCGCGATGTTAATTTTAAACGACTACAATTCATTACATCCGGCGTATCGATATTTTTAGAACTACATGATATGCATTCTTTTCACAAAACTGCGTTCAATGGTTCAATCAACAAACGGCTTTACAATAATCGAAAATCAATAGTATCGACTGTATGCAGCGACGAATCGGGACTTCAGGCCGGCAGTGGCCCATTTTAACTAGTCAGTACGCGGCCCGTCGGGAATATCCTGGCTGTCCGATGGCCCAATCCGCCACTGGCTGTATGAACTACCTATAATAAATTGCAAAAAAATAACTACCAAAAATCCAATGCTCATCAAATCGCCGTAAATAATCGATGGTTCGCGACGATAAAATAATCGCCCTGTATAGTTTAAAGAAAAAAAAAATTAGAAAATTGTCAAACACATAACGCGCGCATAACGCAAAACGTTTTTATGAGAACGCTCGTTGAAAAAAAAAAAAAGAAAAAAGAAAAAAAAAGGGCTGTTACGTTGCACGACGTTACTTTAGCGTGACGTTACGAAATAATAATATAATATTATACTCTTCCACTATATTATTGTAACGCCAAACAATAATAATGCACAAATACCGTTCGAATCGCATCGACACGAATATTGTCGACGAAATGGCGTCATCGGGGAAAATAATATTAGGGAGGGGGTTCAATACTCGTAATGTTTTTTAAAAAAAAATACAATTTTTCGCCAATTAATAAGACGACGGATCTCTTTACGTTTCAACGTGCACTGTTCCAGTAAACTGCGTTGGATTACTTAATTTCCCTATAGCTGAACAATATAATAAAAACAATATGTCACTTGAAATACAGTTCTCGGAAAAACGGGGGGGGGGGCGATTATAGCCAGCGGTTTATTGGAGGGCATACTCGAAACTGTCAATAGGATGTTTTCTGCCATAGCGTACGCGTTGTATAGTTCACGACACGAGGGTATACGAGCGTAATAGTCAAATTACTATATTGACAATGTGGACAATATTCAGTTTAATGAACGACACGGTAATAATTAACATTGATTAATAATCAAAAACATTCTCAAGTTCATTAAATAAATGTTCCTTTCCTAAGAAAGATGGATTCCAGAAAACCACGCGCAAATAAGCACGCTATTTCAATATGGATCAGTACGTGCTGACGCGGAGGGTGTAAAATAATACAAACCACCCGAAAAATGTTAACGTTTTTTTTTTCGAGGATTAAATCTATGTTAATCATAATTATGTTTGAAAACTACTGTTTTAAACAAAATAAATTAAGTTATAAAAAATAAAATATAAGTACGAACTAATGATATAATTAATTATTCGTTTTTTTTAAAATTTATATTAATCATAATTAAGATTCTAAAATTTAACTTAATTTAACTATTAAAAAAAGTTATGAAATGCTTCATTTCGATAAAAAATGCATAATCTAATTTATTTTGAAATTTGAAATTTTAATAGTAACTGCCGCAGTACTTAAGGCACTGAACCGTCTTGATCGTAGCTTTTGAAAAAATCGGTGACAATCATGGATCCGACATAAGGAGACATATAGGGGCGATCGTTCGTCTCAACGTTCTCTCTATAATATACCCTTAACCCCAAAATATTTTAATCTTAGCTTGATTTATCATTAAACGCATCATAAATGTGTGCCTTATTAATTATTATGTACATATATTATATTACCTCCCTCCCTTTCGTTATGCT